CCCCCCCCCCCCCCTTTAGCCCCCCCCCCCCCCCCTGTAGACCCCCCCCCCCCCCAAATCACTTGCCTAACACCATATATTATCCTGTACCTTCCATCCTGTTGCTTTTTTCGTCAATTACAAGTATCATGTTGAAACTATTGTCCAGTGTCCAACACTCAGATGCAGAGGCGTAGCGAGGGGGGTGCAGGGGGGACAGATGTCCCCGGGCGCCAGGTAGTTAGGGGCGCCAAAATGCGCTTTGATATTATTTTATTGATGAAAATAATGGGTTTTAGAGTTTAAAAAAAGAAAAAGGGGCGCTTTTAAATGGATCTTGTCCCCCGGGCGCGAATCTTGTCCCCGGGTGCCAAACACCCTCGCTACGCCGCTGCCCAGATCTATGTATGGTCCAGTAATGAACACCCTGATACATCTATTGTCCAGTGCCTTACACCGTGGCCTATAAATCTGTGGATGAAGGCTACAACTTTCTTCAAAAGTTCCACCCGTCCCGTCCAATGGTTGTGTTTGACGGGGTCTCCAGGGAAACCACCAACGTGCCAACAAATTTACGATTTAAGATTTTGGTGGACAAGAAATCATGGAGTGACAACGCTCATGGAGAAAATTTTCGTAAGTGTTCTTTTTTTGTTTGTATCACATGCAGTTCTTGTGTCAGAGTCCCATGACACAGGCAGTTGAATATGACATAAAGACATGAATATGACAGGGACACAGGAATATGACAGGGACACAGGAATATGACAGTGACACATGGATGTGACATGGACTCCTGAATATGACAGATAAGGTACTCAAAACCATACCACTCAAAAAGCATTTTCCTTACACCGTATTAATTTTACAGGTTGGGAAATAACTCAAGTGCAATAACTCATGCTCTTGATCTTAAGTACGAATGACGTGAAGACATAATGACGTAATAACCTAATTGCAGAATGACATAATAATGTAATGACATAATGACATGAGCATTTACATGTCTGTTTCTTATAATGACCAAATGATAAATATTTTTTTTTTTTAATTTAAAAAAAAAATATTTCCTTGAGTTTAATTTCATTATTAAAAAGGCGGACACCATTTTAAGACACATATAACCATAACAATTATTATATTTCAAGCGCGCTCTGGTATAAGGAATTGCGACATACAAGCATACGGTGGTATCACATTATACGAGATTTTGGGGGTCCGTAAAACCGGTATGAGTGAATAGCGGGGCTAGACCCCATTGTATTCGTACTCGCATTATAGCGGGGCTCGACCGCATTGTATTCGTATTCGCTTTATAGCGGGGCTCGACCGCATGGTATTCGTTTTCGCTTTATAGCGGGGTTAGACCCCATTGTATTTGTATTCGAATTATAGCGGGGTTGGACCGCATTGCCAATATGTATATCATCCTAGCATTTAATAATACATTTTATTTTGTTACTGAAGACGAATTGTCCACGTATGTTTTAGTTTATGGTTTGAACGGAGTGCTGGTCACGCAGCAGCAGGTGGCCCAAATGTTCCTCAACTACTGGCAGAGGACGCGGCAACACAGGCAGCAGTACGCCATCAACATCAGCACCCAGAAGATGCCGAGCGGGCCACTGTACACGCGGGACAAGACTGCGGCCCGCCTAACTCTGGCCCTCACCTTCGGCTTCTTTTTCATTGGCTTAGCCTGCCTGACAGCACGTGACATAGTGGAGGAGCGGGAGACCAAAGTCAAGGTCAACAATTTAAAAAAAAATTATTTAAAGCAGACTTCAGTCAAGAATGGTCAGAAAAAAATGACTTTATGTTTATTATTATCATAATTTATTAGTTTCCTAAAAAAAAAAATAATAATAATTCATATTGAAGCGGTCGTAGATTTTAAATCATTCCCCCCACCCCAACTCCTACACTCCTACATCATTTTTTTTTTACATTTCTCGGATGATCAAGCGTTAGCCTAATGATCGAATAAGTTGACATTAACTCAACATCATTCAACTTGTTTATTTAGATGACTCTTGTTAATTTATATAACAAAAGCCAAAGTGGGTCTATCCCCTCCTTCCTGGAGTGCTGTAAGCCTACCACCTCCTCACTCCCTCCCATGACCCACCTCCTCACTCCCTCCCATGACCGACCTCCTCACTCCATCCCAGGACCTTGTCAATGTGTTTATAAATCTATATGTATAATTCGCCAGTGAAACTAGGGCAAGAAGACGACGACGAAAGCAAGACGCAGGCTGTATATGGATACGCCACAGCAAGCAAGGCGCAGGCAAACCCTCCCCTAACTTCCCTTGCCTGCGCATCGTTGGTCTCGAGACATGCGCACTGCGGTGGAGCTACCGCCCCCGCCCACTCCTGCACCACCCTCGCTTGCCAGCCACGCGCACACTCCAACAATCTCGCGGCGTCTGCTAAGCCGCGGGTCGGCTATATTTATGGAGTTCATTTTCGTAAAATCAAAAGTGTGCAGTGACGTTAATGAAAAAAAAAAAAGGGGGGGGGGGGGGGTGTAGCAAAATTGACATTCTTAAATGTTCGTAACTTGAGTTCACGTTTTTGTCAAGTAACTTTAGTACATGGGAAGTTCACGCAATGCTGTCGCCAATGTTTGGCGAGCTATATCTAGTATTTCTATAATTTGTTTCGAGAGTTCACGTTTAATATTAAAAAAACATAGAATTGCAGTTTAAAAAATGTAAAAAAAAAATAAAAAATTGTTGAATATTCAATAACAAGCGATTAAAATTTCGCTAATAGCTTAAATAAATCCCGCCCTTTTAATAAAATCCAATAATTTGCAGCCTCTTACTCTATGCCCCCCCCCCCCTTTTCCCCTAATGAGACGCTTCAGACTAAAACGATCTTAAGAATGGTTTGGCTTTTTTAATGACAAATGTCTTTTTAAATTATTTTTCGTAATTAAATAAATTAAAAGAGCTGAAAAAAAGTTCATTCGCAAAAATTTAGCCAACACTTTTAAGGATAAGGGCCTAAAATAAATATTGGCAGTAGTTATGTATTCTGCAAATTAAAAATATGATATTGAACTTTGTAAACATTCATTTATGTATGAAGTTGCATCCCATGGCAACGAGACAATTAGACCAGTTAAGCCTCTCTTAAAATGACGAAAGCTAATGCGTGTTAAGTAAGATGGAGATGCATACAATGTGACCTATGACCTTTCGCTTGAACCACCGAGCAGAGGCGTAGCTAAGGGAGGAGGGGGGAAGAGGGGGGGGGACTGATGTCCATGGGCGCCAAAAAGTGCTTTGATATTTTTGTGTTGATGAACTTAATGGGGTTGAGAGTTGAAAAATGAAAAGGGGGGGGGGGCCCTTTAAAATGAATCTTGTCCCCGGGCGCCAAACACTCTAGCTACGCCTCTGCCTACGGGTAAAAATTTAAGTGTATCTAAGTGGCATTTTGAAGTTCATCGGAAAAATGTTCCGAGTATGAGCTGAACATTTGGAAATGTATACTTTATTTGTATACGAATTCCCTCATATAAATTCGCACACTAATTAATGTATAATGTCTTTTGTGTCAGGATGCCCTGCAGATGCTTGGGGTCAACCTCTTGACCTACTGGATGGCCTTGGTCATCACAAACGTCCTCCTAGGCGTCATCACCAGCTCGGTGGTCCTGCTGGTGCTGTACGCCGGCAAGCTCCTCTCTGCCCACATCGCCCTGCTCGCCCTCTGCTTCCTGCTGGTCGTGGTCAACGTCGTGTCGTTCGCGTGTGCGGCCTCGTGTTTCCTGGACAACGGTGAGCAACGGTCTTGTCACTGCAACACAAGTATCGTGATGTGACGCAAGTATCGTGATGTAACACAAGTATCGTGATGGGACGCAAGTATCGTGAAGTAACACAATTATCGCGATGTTAGAAATATTTATCAAACAATATTTGACTCATTGTTTAAATGTGCTTTCTGCATTTCTCTCCCTCATCCGCCCACCCCAGCTCAAGCGTCATCAGTTGTCGTGGCCATGGTCTACCTCCTCTTTGACTACTGCGCATGTCATCTGACCGACATTGTGGAGACGGCAGCGGTCATCTATGTCATAGGAACATTCATGTTTCACGTGGGCACCAGGGTGACCTTGAGCGCAATCTCGTCCAGCGAGAGTAGTGGTGCGTGTCGTGATGTTTAAGTGTGTCACGTCAATGCACTGTGTCACGTCAATACAGTGTGTCACGTCAATAAAGTGTGTCACGTCAATACAGTGTGTCACGTCAATACAGTGTGTCACGTCAATACAGTGTGTCACGTCAATACAGTGTGTCTTGTCAATACAGTGTGTCACGTCAATACAGTGTGTCACGTCAATATAGCGTGTCACGTCCATACAGTGTGTCACGTCCATACAGTGTGTCACGTCAAGACTGTGCGCCACCTCTTTGTGCATAAAGATTGTGCTGCTTTTCAACAAATATGGTGCACATTGTTCTTATATCAATAATTATATTTAAAAATAATAAATTATCTTGTCACATTTAAATCCTTTGTTTAAACTTGTGGATGAACTCCCTAGAGGGCACGCGTATATTACCTTGACAGTCACGTGATGTCGACTATTTTCAGGCAAGATTCTGGACGCCTGGGCTCTGCTGGAGGAATCTGGAGGCCACAGACATTCATTATTGGAAGGTCTGGTCATCATCATCCTCAACACGTCATTCAACTTCCTGGTCGTCTGGTTCCTGGAATACGTCACGACCGACGAGTTTGGCAGTTACCGACTCGCGGATGTCTTTTTAACGGTAAGCATGGTTCTGAATTCTCCAAACGTCCCCTGGTCCTATTTCTCCCTTCTCCTTAGCCTACTTCTCCCTTAGACGTAACAGCCATCTGGGCAGACCTTCAGGATACAGGGGCGGGGAACCAGTTGTCACAAACCAGATGTCAGAGACAAGATGGAAGAATCTGGATTACAGTCATAACTTTATTATACAGGATTCAAACCAAAAAAAAAGAGAGAACGACCTATTGTATGAAGCAGACTTTTTTAACCGTGTGGCCTTGATTGGTTAAACGTCTGCACATCTTTTGGTAAAAATGAAATAAAGAAAAAAAAGGGGGGGGGGAGATAAATCTTGATAGGACAATATCATTTAAGTAAAGCTAAGGCTTATTTCAAAGTGGGTCATGGACCCATGAAACCCGTTTGGACCCATGGTTAAAGTTATACTGACATTATGACCTTCTAGAAAGACTTCTGGTGTCCTCCGCTATACCAAGAAAGAAAGCTACCAGAAATCCCCAAGTATGATGTCAGATTGTGTGAAGAGACACAACCAGATTGTAAAGTTGGAGTACGGTTCAGGAAACTGGTCAAAGTAAGTTCGCGAAGTGCCTTGTTTTAAAGGGGCAGATCATTTTGTGTGTGTGTGTGTGCAGGTGACCAATCAGAAGTTTATCTTTGAACATTATCGTTAGATTTTTCTAATTTGTTTGATTGTGGACTGCATTCTGTCACTCGATTGAGAAACTAAGGGGGGAGGGGGCGTGGAGAGCCAACCACCCCCTGCGACATTTTCTGAGGTTTATTTAAAACATTAGACAATGATATGTGTTTATGTAAAAAAAAAAAAAAAATAGAAAAAAATAACCCAATCTGTTAAATGAAGTCAATTAACTTTCTGCCAACCCAACGGTAGTAAATAAAGTAACTTGTTACTTTCTATGCTGACTGCTTTATGGTCCTCCCAACACACAATTTTTAAGCAACCTGGGGGAATACAGCAAATTAGTATGGCATCTTTCCGTCTGCGGGAGACGATAGATTATCTTTAATGCTTGCAGCTCTTGGCGTGGCTGGTGAGACCAATCCTCGAATGGCAGTCTCTGTTACATTTCCCACACAATAATGCGGTGGAGCAGTATTTACATGCCTTCCTCCTCGCTCTTTTTGCAGCTGTTTCCGCCCTGTTTTGATCCTAGCATCCTGCCTTCACGATGCCCCGCCATGAGGATCGATCCTCTGCCAACTCCTCCCAGTTTGAGATGTCGATGTTGGCCGACTTCATGTGTCTTTTGCATATGTCTAAGTATCTCAGACGAGGCCGTCCAACTGACCTTTTCCCTGTCACCAGCTCGCTGTATAAAACGTCCTTTGGTATGTGACCAGATTGCATTCGCTTGACGTGTCCAAGCCAGCGGAGGCGTCTTTGGATTAACATGGCTGGGACGCTACACATGTTTGTTTGGGACAGGACATACGTGTTGGGCACTTTGTCTTGCCATTTAATGTCAAGGATGGGGCGCAGGCATCTGAGGTGGAAGCCATTGAGCCTTCTTTCGTGTTTAGAGTATGTGGTCCACGACTCGCATCCATAGAGAAGCGTGCTCAGTACGCAGGCCTGGTACACCTGCAGCTTAGTTCTTGTTGTTAGTTTGGCGTTGAACCAGACTCTTTTCTTCAGTCTGGCCATAACAGTTGCGGCCTTCCCTATCCTCCCACTTATCTCATCCTCCATTGAGAGGATGCTCGATATGTTGGATCCCAGATATGTGAATCTGTCAACAGTATCCAAGTTGTAGTCGTCGATGGCGATAGTGGGGAGGAAGTCAGCGTCCTGTGCCATAATGTTAGTTTTCTTTAAGCTAATTGTCAGGCCAAACTCTTTGCAGGCAGCGGATAGGCTGGATACGAGGCTCTGCAGGCCGTCAGCTGTGTGAGATACCAAAGCGTCATCGCCCGCAAACAAGAACTCTCGCAGCAAGACCTTTCTTGTTTTAGTCTTAGCTCTAAGGCGGGCAATGTTGAATAATTTGCCGTCAGCTCTAGTGTGGATGTATATCCCCTCGCTGTTGTTCTGAAAGGCATACTGGAGTAGGATGGAGAAAAAGATTGCAAATAAAGTAGGAGCCAGCACGCAACCTTGCTTAACTCCACTACTCACTGGAAAAGCTTCTGAGGCGGCACCGTTATAGCACACTGTGCCCTGCATGTTTTCGTGGAACTGCTTGATGATGTTAAGCAGTCGCGTAGGGCAGCCTATCTTTTTGAGGATCTGAAACAGGCCGCTTCTGCTGACAAGATCAAAAGCCTTAGTGAGGTCGACAAACGCAATGCATAAAGGCATATGTTGCTCCCTGCACTTCTCCTGCAGCTGGCACAGAGAGAAGATCATGTCTATGGTTGACCTACCGGTGCCAAAACCACATTGCGATTCTGGGAGTACACGCGATGCTAGGATCTGTAGGCGTGTTAATGCAACTCGGGCGAAAGCATTTCCAACTATGCTGATATAATACAGCAAATATAATTAAAAATAAAAAAACCACCTGTTATTACTGATAGAACTATCGCACTTTTCCTCAATGTTGTGATGCGTTTCGACAAATATGGTGCACATTGTTCTAAAATAAATAATTATATTCTTTTAAAAAATTGCTTTAGTTTGAACCACCAGTAGTCAACAATGGGTTAATCTTCCTCCCTAGGTATTTGGAGACCAGGTGGCTGTCGAAGGCATCACCTTGGAAGCTTTTGAAGACCAGATCACTGTACTGTTGGGCCATCGAGGTTCAGGGAAGACTACAATCTTCGCGCTCCTTACAGGTGATGTACCGTTGTGTTACGACGGGTGTGATGTCAGGAAGCAACCTAAAGAAATATGCCCGTGTATTTTAAAGCGTTGATTGCATCATCTTTCTTATTGCTACTGTAACTCTAACATGTATTACTTTTGCAGTAACCACAGCGAGTAGCATTGAAACTATAAGTGAAGCATTTACCAGCGTTTCTACATTACGGCACGTATAGATAGCACTCGCACGGTCTATGTCTATTTTCTCTTTCTTTTACGGCGCTAGAGATATCTGTGCCCAGATATCTGTGTCGAGACATTGTTTTTGTAATGATCTGTGTTGAGATATATGTGTTGAGATATCTGTGTTGAGATATCTGTGTTGAGATATCTGTGTTGAGATATCTGTGTTGAGATATCTGTGTTGAGATATCTGTGTTGAGATATCTGTGTTGGGATATCTGTGTTGAGATATCTGTGTTGAGATATCTGTGTTGAGATAGCTGTGTTGAGATATCTGTGTTGAGATATCTGTGTTGACATATATGTGTTGAGATAGCTGTGTTGAGATATCTGTGTTGAGATAGCTGTGTTCTCATATCACTCTTCGGCCTTTCAGATATCAAGTAGACATTGATGTGAATGCACATGTTCAGGGAATGTTCTCATACTCTAACCACTGCGCATACGATAAATACCGTCAAACACATCAGTATCTATCTGTTAAGATGACCAACCGTAAACTCTGTGTTGAAAGACATAACTGTTTTTCATCGTCTCCAAAGGATGTGGCTCCAACTCCGAGGCAACAACTATAATTGTTATTCTCGTCTCCAGGCATGTGGCCCCCGACCCGTGGCAATAACTATAATTATTATTATCGTCTCCAAGCATATGGCCACCGACTCGTGGCAACAACTATAATTGTTATTCTCGTCTCCAGGCATGTGGCACCCGACCCTTGGCAACAACTATAATTGTTATTATCGTCTCCAGGGATGTGGCCACCGACCCGTGGCAACAGTTGTAGTTGTTACTGTCGTCTCCAAGCATGTTGCCCCCGACCCGTGACAACAACTAT